ACTTTTTTCAAACTAGTCTCTGAACGTATCCGCAGCCCCCTATTTCCGTGAATGTCTATCGGCATCCGACCTCGACGACCTCAACATTGAAATCATCCGAAACACGCTCTACAAAGCCTACCTCGAAGACTTTGACAAGTTTTGCGAGTCCATCGGAGGGCCAACCTACGAAGTCATGCACAAGATCTTGGCCTTTGAAGCTGACCGTCGCACCATCAACATCACCATCAACTCATTCGGCACCGAGCTCTCCAAAGAGCAACGCGCCCGTCTTTTCCCTACCATCGGCAACTTGTACCCCGCTGGTAACAATGCATTGGCCAAGGCGGATGACGTCGAACAGGTCCGAGGGGTGTGCGAATACATTGCCGAGTACAGACACTTTTTCGATGCGGCCGCTTCATCGGGGAATAGAGGTGGTACGAATGGACATGCGACGGATGAGGATCCGACGACCGCTATTGCCGCCACGCTCGAAGACAGGTTCTTCGCGACAGAGGTTCACTTGAACAAGATTGCGTTCTTGCAGCAGTTCCAATATGCCGTTTTCTTTAGTTATTTCAAGTTGAAGGAGCAGGAGATTAGGAGTTTGACCTGGATCGCAGAGTGCATTGCCCAGGACGCAAGAGATAGGATTCAGGACTTCATCACTATTTTCTGATCTCTTTGTTATCTACATGACTTTTGAATCTCATGCCGTCTTTTGCAGAATGATTGGTCTTGCGGTGTGTCAGGTGGTATCTCACCATAATAAGACTTACTTCCAGCCAAGCCATGTCAGCCACGATACTCGAAATCAAGACGAGACATATGAAACTTATGCACGTTATATATCGCCTCGGCTACACAGCGACATGGAACTTTACCTCCGAATTTACTCAACAAGGCAGAGAACAGTTTGCCGCGTACTTCGTGATCGACCAGATTCCTCGCAGGAAGTTTGAAGGCTACGGTGCATACGATACCCATATGGAAGCAAAAGAACGAACTTCTGCGATTTGGTATCTGCTTTTTGAAGAATGGTACAATGCGGTAATGTGGCTCTCATTCTCAGAGACTAACTACAGCTAATTGTGACTATAGACAAAGGACATGCCTGAACGTCCTCCTCTCGGAATTTGACCGAGCTAATGACCCGAGTTGGAATCGTCGAATCCTTTCAGTGTAGTATCGTCTTGAGTGTTGATAGGCAGAAAGTGCTATGGATGAATTATGCTACCCCATTTGTTATATACCTTGTAAGGGCCCTCTGGGCGGGCCTAGCTGTATTTATTTATTTTAGAAAATATCATCACAAGCTGCCTGAATTAGAGTTGATAGCCCCATTACAACGCCTCCTGAATGAGCTTTTGAGTATATCAGGTGGAGGAGCGCGTCATCGGTGGGTCAAAAATGGGGGGGCAAAGAACTAGTGTATTCAGACTGAAATTATACGTATTTTATGAAGAAAACTATCAATAAAATTGCGTACTCACGATACGTCTCGCAGCCAAATGTCGCGGATAATCCTCGGAGTCGATAAACACCTGTATGTACCTAGTTTTGGTAAAGACCTAACAAGCGTATTTCTTTCCTGTCATGTAGTTAGAAAGCCACTCGAATATGGTACAACATCCAGACTATTGATATCAATCATACAGGCTTTCGTGCAAATATATTTATGTTACTAAGGGACCAATGAGTCTTGGACTAGAGCTTTCCCGGAGAACATAGACAACCCTGCCCCTGCGTCAATTAGCGTCTTGACCCCTTCTAAAAATCGTTCCTCGCTGGCCAATCCCAGTGCCGTTGTCCCATGGGAGACTAGATCGATATCAATGTTAGAATGCTCTAATAGCAATTTTAACATGTCAAGGCGTTGGGAGTAAACAGCATAATGAAGTGCCGTCCATCCAGATGTTCCACAGGTCCCGTCGCAGACCTTCCCTATACTTGTATCCTTGCATTTAGTTTGGTTAACCTGTACGCCGGGTTTTGATAATAGGGTTTTGGCCGCATCGACTTCTCCCACAAATGCGGCATACATGAGGGGGGTTAACCCGTCGAGGTCGGATGCCGATAGACATTCACGGAAATAGGGGGCTGCGGATACGTTCAGAGACTAGTTTGAAAAAAGT